ATTGCGCACTTGCCACACCGCATAGTGAACATCGACGGACTATTGATTGAACTGAATTCATTCCCTGGGCTGAGCGCTCAGGATGAGGAAAGCTGACAACAGATCATTTATCAATAAATGGCTCATGACTCTGTGGTCTAATGTAATACGCTGGGCGTGTCAAGTAATATGATGCAGGACAATAAGTTATACTCACAAAACATTTTTTGATAAGGACATGATGAATTGGTTTGTATTTCGCCAGTCTGTGATGCGTTCTCTTGATTGTGTTTCACTGTATTGGGTTGTTGGCGTGGTGTAGCGGTCAGCGCGCTGGACTTACAATCCAGTGACCGCCCGTTCAATTAGATCTCCTGGCGCAGCGGTTGAAACAATGGTGGCAAGTTTATGTTAACTACCTTATCTGGTATGCAGGAGGTCGTGGTTTCAATCCCAACCCTGACGCCTGTAAATTTTCAGTTTGCATGTTCTAACTGTGGTCACGTGGATTTTTCTCCGGGTACCTCTGGTTTTTCCATCCACATTTAGAAACATGCGTTTAGAGTATTTGGCTGCAATACATTTCCACGTGATAAGCCACTTTGTTTAGCTATCGTTTGTGGCCAGGACGAGCTATATAGCTCAGTGAGCCTTGCCTGGTAAAATTAAAAATAGTTTTAGTTCAAATCCTCCCAACTCTGTCCACCCAACAGTATAAATGTGTATACCACAGTTAGTCGATTGGTAGGTCGCATACGGTGGGGTAAAGTGTGGCTACTCCCACTTCTTTCAAGATGTCTGGGAAACGAGGAAGAGTAGGCCAAGTACCCTTCATAGAAGGTCTCTGCAGTGCTTCCTCAAGCAGAGGCCCTTCTGCCAGCAGTGGCATGAGCGCCTTTGCCATCTTTTACAATTTTTCTGATCTTATCAATACCTAAAAGTTCAATTGGGACCAATGTAATTTTTTATTTACCTGGGAAAGATCGGCTGAATCTCAACACTCTTTTTAAAAAGTCATACTGAGGAAATGTGGTCATTTCCTTATCGAGCATTGACACACGTTTACTGTAGTTGTGTATTAATTGGGAGTAAAACGGTGGCACAGCAGTTAGCACGCTGAACTATGAACACGGTTCACCCAAACTCCATTTCTGGGCAAGCCTAACATCACTGGTGAAAGGCATCTGAACAAATTGTGGGCTCCCCCTTCATCAAACAGCACCGACCAGCGTATTGTCACACTGTCCCCGTGACCAACGTCGAGTGAGTGGAGACACCTCGACATCCAGCAGTGGATTAATGAAGGGCTGATCATTATCATTAATATAAGCTCTAGGAGCTCCATGTAAGCACACACCTTGGGAGCCAGCACAAATGATTATATCCACGTGAGTCGCCTGTATCAGAAAGCCAAGCTATGGCTTCACTACACTAGTGTAATGCAAATATGATTCTTATAAAGGAAATTCGTCTACCTTAGCACAAATAACAAAGACTCAACATCTGCCAAGGACACTTTGGCCTTTAGTGAAAGGAACAAATAAAATAGGTGAAGTGTTCGGCTATGACTCTTCTGACAAAAATGTGTTCAGCTATGTGCTATGGAGAAAGGGACATCACCAGAAAATCGTTGCAGCACAAATACGTTTTCCTTTTAAGGTAAGGCAGTGTTATTGACAAATGTGTTGTTGCTTTTGTTATTTGTGCTCATCGAAGGTGTGCTTATACACTCCAGCATCTACTCGGTTTACTCAGCTGAGTTGAAGGTCATTTTCAAATGTCACTGTCACCGGTCCACCTTTACAGCAAAATGCACTCCTGAAGCTTCGCTGCTGTTTGGTGAAGCCGCGTCGTGGGAACCAGATCATTTCACTCGACACACACCGGCTGAGCGGACAGCACACTGGCTTCTCGGACAACCAGCTGCCTACATGTTTATGCATAGAACGTTCGGGATTTAAGGCTGTGTGCAAGTAGCATCGTAAAAAAGTGTTTAACTAAAAATAAATCCTGCCGGATGTTGATGGGGCCCACAATGCACAACTCACAGCCTGAAGATTGCGATCCCATGAGCTGGATAGGAGTCGTCTCGGTCCATCACTCTTATGGGGGTTCATAATATTAGTACCACTGTGTAAGAAGTCTAAATTATGTTGCTTTGTGGAGAGACTGCTGCTCTCCATACGAATGTGGAATTGCCACCACTGTGCTGAGGGTCTGGAATGGTCGTTCATGTAATGGTTAGCGGCTCTCGCGTTCGCCGAAAACGATTTGGTGTGGCGAGGCTGGGTGTCATGACATAACGAACCGACATGTGTTCGTATCAAAATATAGCTCAATTTTAAAACAGCATGAGAGACAAAAAGTTAAACGCGTTACATGGACAAAAAGAGTACTGTGTACGTCGGCCCATGTCTAGAATTGAGTCAAACTGGGGCGGCGTTGCCGGATCACCAAGAGTTGGAGCGTGCGCAAGTCACCCGTCTGCAGGCCTAATGAGGTGACTGGAGGAGGAACCTCTTTGGGCCTGCAGATGGGTGCGTGTAGGAGGCCGTAGATAACAACGGTGGATAACAAGCGAGGTGTTGTTATCCACTACTCCTCGATGTTTTACGTGCCCCCCCACTCAGCAACGACATCCACCGGTGTGGTGTAGGATTGCGCTTTTATGTCAATGATACCCCGTTCGTTATCTCGCTGTACGGTTTTGGCAGGGATGAGGCTGTTCCAGTGCTGAAGCCTGTTTTGTTTATTAAAACAAATACTTCGAGGCAGCAATGTGTCCTTGAGCTAAACACTGATACAACTGATGCTCCTGTTATTGCCTTGCAGCTCGTTATTTAACAAAAACTCTGGTTCACGTTTGATTCAACATGACCCCCCCCGTTAAGGTTTGTATCAGCAAAACCGTTAAGGTTTATTTTTGTTCACCTGAGTAAAACTGCCATACTCAGAGAGGCAAGAAATGGATCTGGTGCCTTCGTTGCAGACTTGCTTGCCAGTCTGCCCGATAATCTCACATGTGGGACCACAACGCTGCACAATGCTGCTGCCCGTACACTAAGACCCAACTCAGGAATCACATTACAGTACTCTTGTAATTAAGTCACTACACTTGCAGTCTATAGGATTCAGAATGAACCTGAAAGTTTCCCTTTTACTGTTTAACACCTTGATACTTTGGCACAAAGGAATTTTGCATTACTTGTTTTTCCCTATGACCCTGTCTGAAATCTTCAACAAAGATTTCTACTTGTCCCTTGGGTTAAACTATACTCTCAGGGACACAGGACTTTCTGTTTAATGGACAAACATTATGGATCTCATTCTCCAAGCGAATTAGGGACTTTAAAAAAAATCGATAAATGAATCAATTTGAAGCTGTAGCTAGACATCCCATCTCCTCTGCCCTTTAAACTGTTAATGTTTTTATTTATTTAACAATTGCAGTATTACCTGTGTCACCAATTCCTCATAGCACTAATTCCCGTAATATTTACTTAATAACTCGATTAACCAATTAATGCTTAACTAGAATCACTATGCACGAAAACCTTCGCTTCATTACCAACACAATGCACTTTAATATAATTAAGGACAGCCTATTTTCACCAAACCTAAATGGATTCCAATTATTACGCTACTTTAACCTGCAAGTCACAACCAATAAACTGGCAAATCAACTCTATGAATGAAACTGGATCACGTATATGATTGTGCTTATGACGTCACTGCACCTACGGAACGACCTGGATCAAGAATCTCTTTGCCGCGATGAGAGTTGAGCTGATGCTGGGTGTAATTTACAGAGAAACGTCGAATATAAAATTGTGAAATTGTTCTTGCTTTTCAACATTCAGATTTGATGAAAAACCTGATCAATTGGAATATTTTCCCACGCAACAACTTCATTTGATTGGCTCTGTCAGGTAGTGGAGGGGATAGATGAAAACTGACAAACCTACATAATCAAATTCAAAACTAACTAATTCTTAATTATAGTATTACAGTTTATCTTCTTTTATTTTTCCCAAATGAATTCAAATTATCGCGGTCATGTCGTGAAGAAAAAAAATACATTCGGAACTCTCACAGCCAGCAGTGAATCACCTTGTGTCAGAGAATGGCCCTGAATGATGTTCTCAATATTTCTCAAACGAACTTCAGTACACACTACACCACTCCATTTACATGCCCTGCACGAAGTGTTCATCACATCCACCAAAACCGACATTTTCAATTATCACAACAGGATGAGACTAAAAAGTTGCTCGACTTGAGAACCCGGTTAAATTGGTGGGTAGTAGCTACCTGGACTCAAACTCAGGTTCTCAGCATTGCTGGCTCAGTGCTCTGACCCTTTAAAAAGGCATCCCGCTTTACCGTGCTCTATTTTCGATTGCAACACACCTTGGGACTACATATTGTAAATGGCGCTGTTTATATAAGCTTGATTATGTATTTATTGATTAAATAGAACTAGCAAAATATCTCAAAGCAGGACCCCCAATGAAAGTGTGTCATAGAACTCAGGAGGTATTTTCTAAATGACATAAAAGTTTGTGAAGATAAGATTCCACAATATGCGTAGATGTTCATTGCATGTACAAAACCACAGTCTTATCCAGATCACAAATGCAATGCACGTTTGGACATCCTCGTTTTTAGACCACAAACTGAAACACATGAAAAAAACGTGGTCATAGTGCAGCTTATAGGACTCATCAGTATGGCAACAGTCATAAATGTTCGCTGCTGCCATATAGAGAGGGCTTGTCCCTTTACACGACAGGGAGCCATTAGCCTGCTGAATTGCAAGGATGATTCCAATCTTTAAACGGTGGGGTTTCTCAACATATAGAGTTATGAATCACTGTGCTAGGAGGTCAACTCTGAGAATCCATGGCTCATGTATTATTTCCTTACCATCAATTATAATAAAGTGACCTTTCTATTTCACCCACAGAGCAGATTACGGTTATTCACAACAACAACCACAACGGTGATGCCATTTCACTTACTGTGTTAAGCTCACTGATGTACTTGAGCAAGTCATCTTGTAATGTCACCCCAATATCCTTGCTCTGGAAAACATTTGGAGAGAAAACAAAAGAGAACGCCGTTAAAACACCAAACCAGGCATGTCAACACATTACAGAAATGTAATTCCACACGTCACTCACCTCTGCTGCCCAAAGCGCCACGCTCAGTCCCAAACGCCTACTGTCTCCCCCCCTCCCCCATGTATAAATGCTCACACCATTAAGGATACGACAGGAATGTAATATACAAGTTTCACTTAAACAAGCTTGCGTCTTTTTCTAACTTTCTGTCAATCTCCAGGGTATAGGGTCACCGCCCCCCCCCCCCCGCCCGCCCCTTCATCCTCTCCCTTTCCCACTGCCTGGGATTGTTTTTCTCATGCAGCTCGTATCCACCGACCAGAACTGTCAGGAATATCCATAATAGAGTTTTTTTTTGGGTTAGATCGTGTAAATATATAAATGTGTCGTTAAAACCCGCCACCACCCGACACAGCCAACTAGTAAGGGTTGTCACGTCAAGAAAACGTGCCAATTCGTCACTAGTACAGCACACCGGTGTGTTGGAGAGCCAAGCCACAACATTTACAAACTGAGTACTCAGTGACAACCCTGACTAGTTGGCTGTGTCGGGTGGTGGCGGGTTTTAACGACACATTTATATATTTACACGATCTAACCCAAAAAACCTCTTATGGATGATATTGGTCGCGTAATCCGACGTGTTAAACTGTCAGGAGTATGCTCGACTCACAATCATTACACATCTCTTTAAGAATGAGTGCCACTTTGCGGAATGGCAATGTCAAGTTGTCTTATGGAAACTGGGTCCTGCCATGGGAAGGAGGAAGTTTCCCCAACTGGCTCAGATTATAGCCCAAGGAGATGAGCACTGCACCATTGTTAATTTGAGCAAGCACACAGCTGGGAATTTGTTACTTTTCATCTTCAATTACAAAACATCTTCAAACACAGTATCCAGGGGTGTACTTAAAAGGCATATGGACAACATTGAAACTTAAAAAAAAACGTAATCCTAAATATTATTATGCCCCATAAAAATCTGCGGTACCTTCTAAATTCTGTGTGGGTTAAAATCCCAAAGTCTGCACCTTCTCACGCATATTACAAGCTTGTAGCCCCGTGGCAATTTTTTTTTTACATTCTTAACATTCCGCAAATTATCATCTTGAATTTTCAAGTCATTATTCCAGAGCATCACAAATTTTAGAATCCGTGAAAACAATCCTCCACATCACCATTCATTTTTGCAGAATGACCTTACAATTATTTAATTTATTCCCAGTATTCTTTGCTGTATACATAAGAAAACCTCTGTGTGTAGACTTGTACACTCTTATCACCATTTTTCTATCTGTTATTTTCAGTAATTTTCAGTAATTCAGAAAGCATCGTCATATCTCAGACGACTCCCAACTGTTTTTATAAAACGAGAATGAACTCATACATTCGGGAACTCTTTCCCGGCTCAGGGCTAAGCATTGGCAACTCCTTAAGTGGAAAGCTACAAATCAAACCTCAAAAAACCACTAGATGTTGCTTGATAGACCTTTCAAAGGAATAAAAAATGTCACTCGTCAATTTAGAAACTCTTAAGACCTTATACAGCACCCTTTTTGAAAACTTGCAATTGCTTCTCAATCTGCTAGCATGTTGTTGTTCCCAGAAAGTTGATGGATTTATAGCTCGTCAATTGACAAAAAGGGAAAACCAAAATCTAGTGACTAAATCACTCAGTTGGTAACACTGTCAGGGCTTGAACCGAAGTCCTCAAAGGATGTTGGTTCAATCATTTGGCATTTTCCTCATACCCTTTGAGACAACGAGCCTCTTGGACGTTACGATTTCTCAAATGGCCAAGCTGGATTGGCTTCAACAAGAGAGGCACAGGTTCAGCTGAGCCCCGAGAGCATCTGCCCATCCCGGGGACACTTACCCGCGGGCAGAAGATGGCCAAAAGGGGCAATATTTCCTGTACATCTCAGCTGGGTGTCCTGCTCTCATTCCGCCTCCCACTGCCTACAGAGTGGATATTATTCTCATCAAAACCCCTCCCCCGGTGTGAGGGACATCTGCTCGCGACATCACTGACTCATTTCCCAGTGCCCTCTGTACTACTTCAACCTCACTCGCTTGTTTTGCTCTTGATTCACTATCGTGGATGCCCGTGCCCCTTTTAAAGGAAACAATTTGGAAATGATGAAGAGGAAATTATATATCACTGAATGGCTTAAACTTGTGACACTGGAATATTCACATGTTTACTCAAATAAGAGTTGTAATCTGGACAGTTGTATACCATGTGTTAAACTAATCACATCGCCAGATGGTACTTCTGGTTGGGTACTTGACTAACAATCAGAAACACATGCGTTCAAATCCAGGTTAGGGCTCGATTTACCCAGCATTACTCCAGGGTCGATAAAACGAATACCGCTTTATCAGAGAGGAGTAAAGAAGTTGCTCTCCAGACTTGGCAGCCAATGGAAGAAAGCTCCATTCCACCTTCATTGGATTGGGGAGACACTTCAACTTTCGACTGGAAAGACAATCAAATTATTCTTAAAATCAGAGATTATTTTTGGATGCTCGTTTGCAGTATTATTAATTCAGTAAGCCCAGGCTCATCTACGCTGCCTTACAATGGAGAAATACTACGTAATAAGCGTGTTTAGTGCAACAGCCTTTCTTCATGACAGATCATGAAGGCATAAGATTGTAAATTATAGGACATAATGGTCTCATGAAAAGAGATATGAATAAAAACAGCTGGCAAAAAGCAAGAGATTCAATATGTAGGATGTGTTAAATCTCAGCCCAACATCCCTCCAAAGTCATTACATTTAATATACATTTTTCGGGGAAGTGGACAGTGGTCGTTGTGGAATTTCCTCCACCAGCTCAGGGCTGGGAATGAGGAGATGAGCACCACCTGATGGTGAATTTGAGCGAACATTACCATTAATGAAAAATTCCACGTATATCCTCAACGTTTTAAAGTGAATCAATATGGAGCGACCAATGTCCAACAAAAGCTACGCACATTGTTGGACCTTTGAGCATAGTTGCTGCATACGATGCGGTGAGTTAGTCGAGACTGACCCTGGGAGCTGTTACGAGTGCTTTTCAGGAGAACGGACACTGTTGTTGACGTGCCTAGATTGGCTCACATTCCAGGACAAAATTGTACAAATTCAAGATGCTGGTGAATGCCAGCTTTTGTTGACGTTTCTAAAAAAAAAAACACCCCCCTCCCCAACAAAACAAAAGCATTTCTCTTAGAGAATGGCAGATTTCTTCAGGGGCATGGGAAGGGGCAGACAACAATGCGTAAATAAAAAGTCAACCATCAAGTGACTCTCTGCTCAAACCATTGATCATCTACATTGACAGCCCTGTTGTAAAGACCACATTCTATGAATCAGTTTCGGATGCAAAAAAACATCCAAAATTTTGCATTTCCCAGGACAATTTTTTACCTTTTTTTGGTTTTCCGGAACATTCGCATGAAGAACGAATATAAAACGTATTAGCATTAACAATCGTGATGTCACCCAATGCTATGTGGCACCACCTTTGGTGCGAAAAACACAGAAGTGGCAGAGTGGCATCACTTCTCGTTTTCAGACCGATCCAAAACAAAATGTGAATCGAGGCCTGAATTTAGGATTTTCGGATAAAAAAAAATCCCCAAATCAGAAAACATCCCTACCACATTCCTATGACAGGGGTCAGTCTCTGTTTTAGACAATTTGTCTAATCTTCCCCACAAAGTGGTGCTTGTTTTATCAACCCCAATGGTGAAGATGGGCAGGGTCAATCCCCATCTGAGATTTGAACTGGTGACCTTCCAATGGTGGTTGAAGTGGTCTGGAGAGCACCACCCGGCTGGAAGCCTCAGGCCATTCAATGGAAATGAGCTCTGCCCCCCATGGGGCTCATTTGAGCAGAGGGAACGGTTGCCACCTGTCCTGGTTTTACCAGGATCGTCCTCTGGGTCAACCTCCTGATCTATCTTGGGCATCAAAATTCCCGGTGTTTGTCACTTGTGTAATAATGCACCACTCAAGGCAATGCATTATATGTATCTTCTCCTCTCAGTATTTTGAGATATTCTTTGCATCCCATGTCCCAGGTTTTTCATACCTTAGAGGGAACAACCCTAGCAAAGGGCTACTGTGGGTTAACTATATTGTACATACAGACTGTGCTTCATACCTTTCTATTGCGTGCAACTCCTAGAAATGTGTTCCCCAATTTTCAAATAGATCTGAAAACTGTAAATGACATCTCGTATATGACATCGACGGCATGCTTTTAATGAAGAAAAAATAGTTCCGCGTGGAATCGGGTGACTTTGATTTGTTTAGCACGCAGACACAAATGTATAATTTAAATGATCCAAGAATAAAGGCAGATTCGAAATAGTTCTTAAAAATCATGAAATCCAAAAATTGTTATCCAAAACTCCTGCGTAGTATCACTGCACAAGTGTGTGCGTCTGTCCCGAACGTGTTTGTGTGTCCAATGTGCAAACGAGCAAGTTAAAGTGTGCTCTCTGTGCGTATGTGTTAGTGCGTTTGTACGCGAGTGGGGAGCGTGACCATAATAGTTAGCACGCTGTCCTACGAACCCAGCGACCCGAGTTTAATTTCAGCTCACAACTAATAACAGTGGCAAACATCTGAACTGGTTCTGGGCCTCTCCTAGGTTGACTCAACCTTAAATTAATACTTGGTGCAATGTGCAAACATCAGCACTTGGAAGGCAAAAGTTAGCCGGGTATGGTGCTGGCCACACCACTCTATAATGTGCCATGCTTGCCTACATTAACGGTACTTGTCCCAACAGTCTGTTAGGGCTACACGGGGATTCTTTGTCTTTGCGGGTGAGCATGTCATGCAGGAGACACACTGCATGCAAAGGCCACACTTCCTCTGCTATAAAACTGGTCTCTCTGCTTTTTCTCCAGGAACTCTGTTTAAAGTACGAGTCTGATTAAGCGCACTGGTGTGCTGGGC